CTATCTATCTATCTATCTATCTATCTATCTATCTATCTATCTATCTATCTATCTATCTATTTCTTTTGTATGACTACATGTAACTGCTCTGTCTATCTATCTATCTATCTATCTATTTCTTTTGTATGACTACATGTAACTGCTCTGTCTATCTATCTATCTATCTATATCTATAGAGAGATAGATAGATAGAGAGAGAGAGAGAGAGAGAGAGAGAGAGAGAGAGATACAGAGCAGTTACATAGTCATACAAAAGAAAAAAAAGTGTTTAAAAGAATCAAGCTGACACGTTTAAATGTTTGTTTACAGAATTATTTTGTTCTTTCTCTGATGTTCATTGATATATAATGTACTAAGGATTTTGAGCAAGTTACAGGCTTTTGATGGTAATCTATTGTGTTCTGCTGTTTGTACGAAATGCGCTTTCCTTATTTGCAAATCTTAAGAATGATTCAAGAAATGTACTAAAGCGACTGATAAGAACTGTTTATAGAGGAGAGCAGTTACAGCAAACATCTCTCTCTCTCTCTCTCTATATATATATATATATATATAGAGAGAGAGAGAGAGAGACAGAGCAGTTACATATAGTCATATAAGAAAAAAAAGTGTTTAAAAGAATCATGAATCAAGCTAACATGTTTAAATGTTTGTTTTCAGAATTATTTTGTTCTTTCTTTGATTTTAAAAGCCATTGGATCTGCACTAACCCTAGCCCTAACCCTAACCCTAGCCCTAACCCTAGCTCTGCCTTTGACTGTGCCTTGTGTCACAAACAAGAATGTCAAAATGCTTAGTCATGTTGTCAATATAACTGTATCAGTACTTTTAGAAGTAAACAATGGCTACGATTTTGATGACAATGATTGAAAATACAAAAGACTGCACTTTATCTGTATGACACATATGCATGCGCAGAAGAGTACTCAACGGTCAACAACGTCACTTGTTTGCGGAAGTAGCTAAACATGAATGTCAACAGTGGAGCTCGTTTAGCAATATTAAAGTTATTTGTGTGGATGCGGAGTCGCAGCCAGGAGTGGTGGGATACTGATGTGAGTGGCTTCACTAATACAGAATTCATCAGTAACTTCCGAATGACCAGATCCACCTTCGATTATGTTTGAGCACCTTCGATTAACTCTGTCACGGGAAGAGACACGTCTGCGGCGGACCAAACAGTGCAACGCGTTGGAGTGTAGTGGCTAGCTACAGGTGCGTGCTATCGTACGATAGCTAACTTGTTTATCTTCTCATTCCCGCCTACTTCAACGCAGAATTATGACGTTTGTCGCATATCAATGGCGTGCGGGTCGGATACATGTGACTTGGCCGTTCAGATTGAGGTCGCATTTGAAAAGATCGAATACAGATCGGATTTGGACCACATACCCAAGTGGCCTGGGTCGCATTTGAAAAGATCGGATCTGTGTCGTTCAGACTGTCATGAAAAGATCAGATACAGGTCGCATAGAGGCAAAAAAAATCGGAATTGGGTCGTTTTAGCCTGCAGTGTGAACGTAGCCATAAACACACATGGCCCATTACTCTAGTTGAGACTGGACTCACATATATACTGTTGGTCTGTTAAAAAATTACAGTACAATGTCATTGCAATAAAGAAAAAGACTATTACACACATATGTACGTGTGTGTGTGTGTGTTACATTATGTCTCTATCACGTATATTTACTGTATAATGAACTTATGGTGAACAGTAGCCTAGTGAACACTGTCTGATCACACACCTGTTCTGTCTACAAACGCTTGAATGATTGAGGACACACACGTTTGTTCTCATGGCTCACCTTTCAACCCGCCTCGGCCATGAGGTCATGACTGAACATGATCTACATAGTGGCCCTTATTTCTTCAGAAACCTACATTCTTGGCCTGTTCTATCTCTTCCTCTGTTTTACCTCTGTATCACCACACATGCTTACTCCTCTTCTCCTCCTCGGCTGTTCACCCTGTTGTTCTTCCGTTCTCAGAGTGTGTATGTGTTGTGCTCTGTCTATATGCCAGAGGAAGATCATGAGATGCACTCTGAGCGATTATAGAGAACTGGTGATCATTGATTGATCTAATGCTTTACATTCCCCTTCATTAGTGAAATTCAGAATTCACATCTGCAATTCAACAATTCAGGACAAAAAAAGTCTAATAGAATTGTATAGAAAATATGTTTGACAGTTTATGACAACTAGTTCAACCATTCTGCATTTAATGACTTATGGAACTAATGCCTATATGTTTTGAGGGGTCTATTGCCTATATGTTTTGAGACTATTCAACAGAGAACCAGTATAATACATTTTGATAAACATGACATAAGCAATTAATAATGTAAGAAACAGCAGACACTTGTATATAAATTGCATGAATGTACCAAAGCATTTGCAATTTGTTCAAAAGAATGATAAACTGCTTTTATGATGTGCATTTTATTTATATTTAAATAGAAATACTTATGTTTAACAGGTTATTCAAATGTTTCTGTTGATTAAACAGTGACTAGATGATGATGTCTAAAACAAGAATTTTAGTTGTGATCTGGGAAATGCACCAAAGCGACTGAAAAAAACTTCAATATAATTATTATAATAATATAATATATAATTAGAATGTTGTAACTGCTTTCCTCTATATAATATAATATAAAGAGAATGTTGCATGTAAGTGCTCTCCTAGATATATAATATAAAATAATATATAAAATAATACAATATAATATATAATATAAAGATAATGTTTGCTGTAACTGCTCTCCTAGATATATAATATAAAATAATACAATACAATATATAATATAATACAATTTAAAGAGAATGTTTGCTGTAACTGCTCTCCTCTATATAATATAATATAATATAATATAATATAATATAATATAATATAATATAATATAATATAATATAATATAATATAATATTAAGAGAAATGTTTGCTTGTTTGCTTTAAGTGAATGTGTTGCTGTGGTAACGGACTCCCGCTTGTGCGGTGGGTGGGGGCGGGGCGGCGCCCGCTCACTGATATATGAGAGGGAACGGCAGAACGCAAAGTAGGAGAAAACACTTTTTAAAAAAAGATTACTCATAAAAGCAAGCGATTAAGCATGTTTTCACATCTTTTTGTGGCTTGTCTGTTTTTATTAAACAAACTCGGATGAATAAATCATCACACCCATATTGACAGATTTAATCAGTTGTTCCTCTGCTTTTGGAAGGAAATATGTAACGTACTTTTTAAATTCACATGACGTAATGTGTCTGTCCCTTCCCCGCTTCAAACTCGTTCCTACATGATTAATAAACTCCTATGTAAGTTACTGTACGTGCTGTATAGTCTCGGTGACGCGCAGCAGCGCGATCTTCACACACACACAGAGCAGACTCTGATGCGAGAGCAAAACTGCGAGGATTAAAGTTGAAACACATGCTCATATACATCATGAGAGCTCCTGCTGCTCAGGGCAAATTAGTAATTTTTTATTTAAATAATAATTATTGGCAATTTATCTATAATTGAATGTGGATTATCTGTTTATTTATTTATAATAATGATTTTTTTTTGCCTCCGCCATCTTTGTTGATGACGTAATGGCCTCTGATTGGTCAGATCATCAAGTCCCGCTCTCATAGTGGCTTCCTGCGCTCTGATTGGTCAGAATCCCCGAAGTGTGTATCTTTTCCGGAAGTGCAGTACTCCTAGAGGGCGCTGTGTTATACACACTTTAGTGGGGGGGCATACACACTTCACATACACAAATCACTTAAAAGTGATTTTTTGGGACAAGTGAGATTTTAAGTCTGGACACCATTTTAGAGTATGCTGAATGCCATTATATAGTCAAACAAATGAGGACATACAAAATGTCCTCAATTTTTGAGGTGGTCCTCAGTTTACTGGTGTGTATCCTGGTGAATGTACCCAAAAGGGACATAAACAAACACACACACACACACACACACACACACACACACACACACACACACACACACACACACACACACACACACACACACACATTTCACACCCTCTATACAATAATAAATAGCTATGCGTACAAACAAACTTGTGTGCTTGGAGTTTTGCCAGTTCCACTTCCACACCCCTAACTGTCAAAAGAAAAAAGAAAATAAATTCACAGTTGTGCAGTATTGGTATTGCAGGTGTTTGCGAAAAAGAGATATAGAGAGATGTGGGTGGGTGAGAAGGTGAGAGTGTTGGGGCGAGAGTAATTCTGGCAAAGGTCTGGTAATCTGAAATGTTTGCTTTATTATTACGGGTAAATAGACACAGGTTGGGTTTATGCACTGGCGTCATCAGGTATGCAATATGCTATTGTTGCTGATGACTTGGCATAACTCCAGTCCAATATTATTAACTTTAATAACTATACCTTTGACTGACAGGTTCAATAATCTTAATGTGTGTAAATATACTTTCACTATATTTGTATTTTATACATATACAGTATGTGTGTGTGTGTGTGTGTGTGTGTGTGTGAGAGAGAGAGAGAGAGAGTGATGAACTCGAACCTGACCCCCTGCATTCTTTATGCACCTTTTATTAACATGATCAAACATTTAATAATAAAGAGTGTATAATTAGTAAATTATGTAAGTCATTTGTCTTCTTTCATTGTTGCAGGACCCGGCGACCTTTATCCATGCTCGTTAGATCTTTGAAACTCTGTGAGGCGTGTCTTGTCAGGAAGGGAAAGAGGAGAGATAGAGAGAGACAAACAGAGAAGGAAGGAAAGGGCGGAGAGGGAGAGGCAGGCAGGCACACACACACACACACACACACACACACACACACACACACACACACACACACACACACACACACACACACACACACCCAGCCCTTTCTCTTCTCTTCTGCCCCTCCTGTCTCCGGCTGAGCGTATCTGCCAAGAGCGCGCCCCACCCTCACCTCCCGCGAGCGCCCTCCCACCCGGCCTTAATCATGTGATAGACGCTGAATTCACTCAGGACACTTTAAACGCTTAGAGAAGAAGTTGTTTCGTAACACTCGGGAAAGTTTTTCGGCCTCTGCCTTAATGCAAGTGTGTCATTTGGATGTGTTTCATGCTATTGTGATTCGGGTCGTCTGTCGTCTGTGGTCTTTCATAACGGCGCACTTTTAACTTGAGGAATATTTACTGACATGTAAGTATAGGCTATGTTACTATCTTTATTAAATACCATCGACTGTCTTCAAATAAGTAAAAACAAACCCTTCTGCTGGTCCTGCTGTTGTAAACTAATATTTCAGTCCATCTTAAATTCAATATTTAATAAATTAAAACAAAATAGCCTATCTACTAACACACGTGTGTAGGCTAGAAGTAAAATAGACCTAGGCCTACATGTCTTCTGTCCTTTTTAGAAAGTAGACTTTTCTACAATAGTTCTGACAAATGGGTCAATGTCAAATAAGGATGTCCGAGATGATGGCAACGAGAAATCTTTGTTTTACACATGTGCCAATCTCTCAGAAATGTCATCTTTGTTTTCATGTTTTGTCAAAATAATAATAATAATATAATAATTGAATTACTCTTAAATGTCGTGTAAAAAAAGTATCAAACATATTTTTTTCCTTTGAAAAAACGTGTGTACACAACTTTATTATTATTCAATAAACGTTTTATAAACATTCTGACATTGAGTCTTTAATAGTAAGAAGTTTAATTGAGGCTACTCCATTTGACCCGACAACATATTCGTAAAACGTTATAATATGTGATATTTTTAAACATTTAATGACTTTGACACTCAATCAAGAAAGGGGTCCCTTCTATTTTACAGCAGGCTACATTTCTTTTTACAATCCTCGGACAGTTACACCACCTAAACATTTTTACTTTAACAATATCACAGTCAAAATTACTTGAATTGAGAATTTGTCCGGCAAAGAAGAATTCAATACATTTACATTTTTTATTGTATGAATTACATTTTTGAACAACTTCAAAATAATGAGGGCCATGTCATTGGCATGTAGGCATCTCATGTGTTTGTTTTGATTATTGTGAGTTATAATATTGCTCTTTTGGCACTTATTGTTTTATTGCTGAGATCAAGCTGTACCTTACTGTCACTGATGTAGTTGTACTGATACTGTGTTCTTGGCTGGACTTTAACTTTAATCTTGTATCAGCAAAATTAATTGACTCAATTTACAGTCACCCAGTCCATTTATGATCAGTGCCAGAGCGGTATGCAAATGTAATATTCAGGCAAATTACATGCACTGTACAGCCATAGCAACTTGTGTGCAGGATCATGTTGATGTGCGACTTTGGCTCAGTTGCATTTTTTAATTAAACATTTATTTTGTCACATTTCTGTGTTAAGAAGTGAAGAGAATTTCTCTGCGACTCCTTATAATAAGTTTTCTTCAGGTCTTCAGTTTATGTACATTCAAACCGTTAGAAATCTCATGACACCTTGATTCATATGTTTTATTAGACCTATATATACATTTTTGAATGTGCATTCAATTCATTTGGCAAGATTTTTGTTGAATATACATTCACAGGCAAAATATGTCTTAATGTATACAATCCAACTTTTTATTCAAGTCAAAAATATTATTTACCATGGCTTCAAGCCCCATTCTGGCTTATGCAGTAATTTATTTGCGTTTCGATCAGCTTGTGCTATATTTAGTGTGTGTGTGTGTGTGTATGTTAAGCTATTCATAATAGGCCAGCCTGTATCCACAATTTGGAGTGTATGAAGATTAGGTGCACTGCATGTGCATGGTGGACACATAGCATTTTAGGTGTAAAAATCAAATACAATAAAACTCATAGTCCAAGTCCCATGGTCAGCTGCATTCTGAGCTTTGTTTCAAGGCTGAGGTTTGCGTCAGACATTCCATCTGGCATATGGAGCCTCTTTTCCTGTTTTCACCATTTGAGGGGAGGCTGCCTAGGGGGAGTGAACACACACACACACACACACACACACTACTGGACCCTCCACTCACTTACACGACTCTTTCCTTAGATCAATACTCTGATGTTATCGCAATACACACACAAACAATCCACTACAAAAGAGGATCATTTTCAGAGCCGCATTCCATTGTTAAAATGCTCTCTCTCTCTCTCTCTCTCTCTCTCTCTCTATTTCCCTATGTCTCTTTCTCCTTTTCTTTAGTTTGAGAAAAGGCAAGAAAGGAAAATATGGCCCCCGTGTAGCAGAGCTCCTCTATGTGTTAATCTCACTATGGAAACAATAACAGACACATTGTGGCCTTCTTGCTAAATTTGGTCCTCGGTCTAAATTTCAGTCTAATCTGATTTAATCTTTTAGATAGAAGCCTGCCCTATAAAGTTTTCCACATTGGGATCTCTTTCAATCTCAGATCTCATCTAGCTTACAAAAATGTTCTAAGAATGTTTCGCTCACATTTCCATTAAGTTATAAAAACTTAATATATATTTTTGAATGTTCTTTAAATTCCAGTTTTTCAGAAACCCTCGTTATTAACGACACCGTTGGCCGTTAAGTGAACTGCAACTTACAAGAGACTGAAGCGCCAACGTTTAACCCGCAGAAAAAACATCAACCCCCAGCAGCAACAATTTAAAAGTAGCCCAGTTACGCGGGAAAACTTACAAGAGATAGTTGCCAAGTGTTGGGAACACTGGAAGAGAGGCTCTCGGGAGCTCGCATGAACACAACATCCCCACAGTCCTTCACATAAAAATCAGTTTAATAGACAACCTAGGAAGTTGGGGAAGGTCTCGCTTTTTAACTTTCAATACAAGATGTTCAATGGCAATAAAAAGCTATTAATACATGACAATTCTTACATATAGCCCCTTTAAAGACCAGATAACTTTGAACGAGCGTTCTGTTAACGTGGAGGAAAGTTTGTTCATAACTTTGAGAGAACCTTGCCAGAGCGTCCAAAAGTTCTGAGAACATTCCCTGTTAGCTGGGCAAGCATTTCTCAGACACCTGGCAGAAAAAGCTATCTGTTATCTGAGAGCGGTGGTTATTGACGGGTTGTGTGCATTGAACCAGTGCTGTTTAGTTTGGTTTTGGGTTTTACATGGGCTTGCTATTAGATTCTGCACTTTGTAATTTTGGTTTTCGCATTTTCTCCATGTCAGCAAGCTGGACCATTCCTCACCACTAGGAAACTGCATTAGAGCGTAACACTGCCGTTTTGTGGTTTTGAGTGTGTGTGTGCCTTAATGGATTTGCCTACTTCACTGGTCTGCAATGTTGAGTGAAGAGCGTGTGATTTATAAAGTATCACACATGGTAGATTTGACAGAGAGAGTCGAACAGTCTGAACTACTCATTCACACCGCCTGAGGTCAAGAAAAAGAAGTAATAGTCACACTAAACTCTAAAGAGACTGTAAATGTGAAGTTAAAGTGATAATGTGATATGGACAGAGCAGAGGTATTAAGAGAGAGGGTAGAAACAGATTGAGTTATTAACTTATAACTATAATTATAGTAAAATTAAGTATTTAAACAACTTAATTTAATAGGTTGTAGAGAAGGATAATTATTGGTATTTGATATATTATGAAGTCTTGCGCAAGTTGGCACACCGTAATAACTGCATCTATTGGAGCGTGTACCAACCTCTGCATTTTATGAGACTGTTAAGTTTAATTGCCGGTGTGTGTGTGTGTGTGTGCATGCGAGTATGTGTTTTCTTGTTGTTAGCAGTGTAACAGGTTCACTTTAACTCTGCCAAGCCTGGAGGACAGTTGTGATTGTGAACAGCTCTCTCTCTACCTCACTTTATCATTGTCTTATAGAGAACTTCTTCACCCCTTTGAGAAAAACACAACAAAATCCATATAGAAAAACTCATACATAAAAACTGTCCCCGTTCAACTACGATATAAAAACTGTCTCTCTTATTTGGAAAAGGACTGTTTGTTTGACTAAGATTTCCTAAGAATAAGAGCTTATCAGGCTTTGATGCTTCTGCCTACAAGTTGAAAAGAAAAGCAGTGCTTTGATAAGTGTACATTAAAAGTTTGGGTTCAATAAGATGCCTTTTTAAAGGAAATTAAAAAAAAATTCTTGGCATTGAATGAAATGCATTGAGTCGATCAAAAGTGACAGTAGACTTTTACATTATTACAATTTTTTTTTTTTTTTTATAAACGCTGTTCTTTTTAATGTTCTTTTCATCAAATAATGCTAAAAAAAAAGTCTCACTGTTTCCACAAAAATATTAAGCAGCACAACTGTTTTCAACATTGATAATAATAAGAAATCTTTCTTGAGCAGCAAATCAGCATATTAGGATGATTTCTTCAGGATCATTTGACACTGAAGACTGGAGTAATGGCTGCTAAATTTCAGCTTTCCTATCTCAGGAATAAATTACATTTGAAAATAAATTCATATTGAAAACCGTTATTTTTAAATTGTAATAATATTTTCAGAATTTTACTGTTTTTATGGTTTTGATCAAATAAATCACCTTTGATGAGCATATAAGAGACTTCTTTCAAAAAACGTTAACAAATCTTACTGAACCCAAACTTTCAAACATTTCTTTCTTACAGGAGCTTAACTAACAGATCTAGCCCTTATTTTCATAAGATGGTTCAGCTCATGCAGTAACAGTTTTATAAAGGTTAGTTCAACCATATTTTGGCAAAACCAATAACTTTAGTTTTCCCCCCATCGATCCATCCATCCATTTTTCAAACCGTTTTGTCCTGTGTAGGGTCGCGGGTATATATGACGTCCTATAGGGTCACATAGAGTATGTGGAATTACAAATGAAATATGAGAGGACTGTAATGCTTTTTTTGTCATTTTTGCAGCTTGGTAGCATCTGTCCCCATTCACTTTCATTGTATGGAAAAGAACAGGCTGTACATTGTTCTACTGTGTGTCTAATGGAAGAAAGAAAGCCATACAGGCTTAACATGAGAGTGAATAAATTATGGCAGAACTTTCATTATTGGCTGATCTATTCATTTAAAACACTACTGTGTCTAGTTACAAAATCATCCTCTTAGTAAATATGTAAACTGATGTCTTGAATAGCATTTAAGTTTAACTCATCTGTTGTGTCTTGTCTTTTGTTTTGGTATCTCTTTAGCTATAAACTGTTAATTTGAGGTTTGGATGAGTATGTCTGTATTCGTGTGTATGTTCTAGTATGTTGTTTTCGTAACCCACACCTGACCCTGGGGCCAATGGGAGTGTTTCCAAAGCCTGTGTGCGTGTGTGAGCGCCACTGTCTCTTGCAATAGTAGTCCTGTTTACAGGTATATGTGTGTCTGAAATCCCAGAAAGACTGAATTTGCTGGGAGTATCTGAACTCAGTAGACTTAGTACGAATTGTTCTGCGTGTGTGTGCGTGCATGTGCATGTGTGTTACCAGCACCACCCTGGGTTAATGATTGTAAAAAGAGACTTTACATTCACCCCTCTCTTTCTTTATCCCTCTCTCTCTCTCTCTCTCTCTCTCTCTCTCTCACTCTCTCTCTCTCTCTCTCTCTCTCTCTCTCTCTCTCTCTCTCTCTCTCTCTCTCTCTCTCTCTCTCTCTCTCTCTCTCTCTCTCTCTCTCTCTCTCTCTCTGCCTTACTGAGTCCACGCACTCCACTGAATTCCAATGAAAACAAGTCCTATGGGTCATCTTACTTTAACTTTTGGAAATAGAAATGTACCTATAACATCTGTAGACTTTAGCACCTGCATTTTTGTGTTGGTCTTTGTGTGCTCAGACAAAACACACAGAATGTTCAGCTAAATATATTTGTCTCTTTTGTGTTCACAAGAACTCATGCTCATGTGTAAGATGTCTGATGTGCTGGTCCTGCTGTCAACCTTTCATCTCTTTCCTTTGTGCATTGCAGACTTGTTAGCTATATTTCTCTTCTACTATGGGCACTTTTGACCCTGTGAACTTTTACAAAATAAACTTTCTTAAAATACACTTTTCACACTCTCACTAGTTCATTTAATTTCCGCTTACAACATCAAATCAGGCATCACATCATTTTTTCATCATCTCAAAACATGTATCTTGTTTAATAGCATTGTGGTGGAAATTATATTTTAACATATTTGGATTAAAATAGTAAAAATAGACCCTTTTGCCTTGCTAAGACTAATTTAAGAGGTTGCTTTATCTTTTTTCATGCCTCACATTTAATTTCAACCTTGCTTTGAATACACTAACTGCAGATTGTGGTGGAAATGATGAACTGAGAGACAGTAATATGTTGTGTAAACTGAATATATAAATTTTACAAATGAATCAGATAAAATAAAAATTTTTTATCTGATTCATTTGTAAAATTTATATATTTTCACAAATTATAGTAATATTAATATTAAACATTTTGATCAAGTTAATTAATTAATTTATATTTTATGTATGTGAATTTTGTATTTATTTATTTATATACACTATACCGTTCAAATGTTTGGAGTCAGTAAGATTTTTCCTTTTTTTTGAGAGAGAGAGAGTGAAAGGGTGTATTAAAAGTGACAGTAAAGACATTTATAATGTCCTAAAAGTTTTCTATTTAAAAAAAAAATGCAAATAAATGTCTGAAGGATCAGTCATGTGACACTATGGGCCCTATCTTGCACTCGGCGCAAATGACTTTGTACACTGACGCATGTATCATTCCTATTTTGCACCCGCGCAAAGCGGACTTTTCCCTCCACAGACACACGTCGGTTAACTAAGAAATACACTTGCGCTCCCCGGGGCGGTTCAGCGCAAAGAGGAGGCGTGTTCCGGCGCAAACTTTCCCTCATGCTATTTTGCTGTTCTATAAAACAAATGCGCCACTGACCAGAAAAAACCTAGCCTAAAGTCAGTGGCGCGTTGCGCGTTGTTCATTATGCTATTTTAAGGGCGCATGCTTGGCCATAATCAATGTAGCGTGTGCACAACGCGCATACACTTTGATTCTCTCATCTAAGCAGCAGTTTTCATTTTTGCAAATCATACATTATTACGATAGATAGATAGATAGATAGATAGATAGATAGATAGACAATTTATTATAAAAGCATACATGTAGCTTACACATTTACCCAAATTATCATACGCCTGTTTAACAGAAGTTAATTTGGGTGGGTTTCTCAAACTTTCTCCATCCCCAATGTCACTTCTCTGTGTTTTACGGCCCTGACGAGAACGTTGCTCTCCTCGGCTATGAACCGCTCCTGGCGCGCGCCTGGCAAATCCGCCGTTATAATAGGAATCCGCTTTAGAACAAGCGCGCCTGCTCTTAAAGGGAATGTGAGATGACGCTCTGATTGGTTTATTTCACGTTACGCCCAAACCACACCTATGAATAATGAAGCTACTTCAGACCAACCCCTTTTAGATTTGCGCCAGGCGCAAGAGGCATTTATCCCGCCGGGAAAATAGCAACAGCGCCGGGATCCGCCCACAAAGTTACTTGCGCTTTGCGCTTTGACACTTGCGTTTCAGATCGTTAAAATAGGGCCCTATGTAATGTCTGCTGAAAATTCAGCTCTGCCATCACAGGTATAAACTACATTTTAAAATATATTAAAATAAAAACCAGTGATTTTAAATTGTAATAATATTGCCACATATTACTGTTTTTACTGTATTTTTGATCAAATAAAAGCAGCTTTGTTGAGCATAAGAGATTTCTTCCAAAAACAATATCTTACTAACCCCAAACGTTTGAACAGTAGTCTATATTTACAGTTTATTATTAATATCTTTATGATGAATGATCATATTTCAAGACTGAAAATCTGGGTCTGATACATTTAATATCTCAATAAAACACCTAAAGACATAATAAAAAACAAAGCTTCCAAGACAGTTTTAATGCAAACCTTATGTAACACAAAGGGGGAAAAGTTATTAAATAAAGACCGTGGAGTTGAAGAAACACCCTAAGATGTGGTAAGATCAGAATGAATCATTATCTAAGGATGAAATAGTAGCATTTAGTAGCAATTCTATGATGTGGCCTCTCTGTTCCCCAACACCATACTGGTTAAGTGGGTCAGGTGGAAAAAGCTTTCTTATAGTGTTGCAATCTTACGTACAACCACACACAAACAGTGTTCATTACCCTGGGCATTTTAACTTCCTCTGTACTTTAAGTGATTAGTGTTTCAGCACTTCTCTCATGCTTCTCTGCTTCCGTGTGCTTGGAATGAAGAATGACTTACTGATGGCTTACGACACCTCTCTGATGCAGGATTTTGTTTTGCCACTAACTGATATACTACTGTTTGTTTTCTGTATTTCCCAGAATTCCAGTGGCAGCAGCCATGCTCAGGTGTGACTCAATAAATACAGACATGGTGAGTACAGTTCTTGGGGTAAATATCCGTAAATAAATTAGTTGAAAAGAAATGGTTGGTATCGTACAAATGATTTCAAAGGTTTTGTAGAGGTCTCTTCTACAGTGTTAAAAAGGAACATACTGGAGTATGTTTGACAAGAAAACTACTTGAAAATGTAGTGTGACACTTGTTTCTACAGAAACCACATTTTTTTAGTGTATTAACCAAAAGAAGGTTTTTCTTTTTTACTGATCTGAAACGTTTCTTCACTTCCTGATGCTTGTCTAGTTCTTTGCATCCGGTTTACTTGATTTTAAAGAAAACAATGCTTCATTTTCCGTTTCCAATAACAAACCTGCCTTACCAACTAACGCACAATGGGCTGCCTGGCACATGGCCATCTGAACACCCTGGTCTTGGGACATCGGAGTGTTTGTTCAAGTGCAGAACCCCCATGCAATCTTTGAATTCTGAGTATAGCTTGAGACTCATTTATAGAGACGAATAAGGATATTGTTGAATTGCATGAGTATATTATTTTAAGATATTTTTCAAAATGTATCTCTAAAACTCATCTCGTACTTGCTTGCTTTCTCATTTTCTCTCTTTTTCTCTAACTGCAGTTGGACATGCATTCCTTTCTTATTAGGTTAGGAGTTTATATGGGGTGGGAAGTTGAATTTGGCTCAAACTCAGTCATTCAAAGTTAGTCTTTTTTGTCAGTTTATAGTCCCCAGACTCAACTGCTACTCAGCACAGCTGCTTTTTATGAATGCTTGTGTAATTATGTACATGTGAATGTGTAAATATGCTTGCAAGTTCACAGCGTGTTGAAAGTCTCTCTTTCTTTTTCTCTAGCAGTCATTATACCAGATTAAACCACCATCTGAGGCATTTGGAGTCGTATCATCCGCAGCCCAGATGTACCATCATCACTTCCATTACCCCGGCTATCAGCACTACACCTACGGGAGCCCCCCTCACACACACCCTCAGTCCCAGGATGTCCATCACTCCCAGAACGTCCATCACTCCCAGAACGAACCTGTCGACTTGACCGTCAGCAAAACATCCTCCGTTTCGTCGCCTTCCTCATCTCTGGCATCGTCATCACCTAGAGCCACTCCTCCATCCCTTTATGAGCGCGCCAGTCCAGTCTCCCAAGGAAGCACTTGCGGGTCATCTCAGACAAGGCAGCTGTCCCCACCACTGGCCCTTTCCATGCCTGCGGTAAGAATAAGGCTGATGCTTTACCATTGGTGCCATGGTGCTGAATGAAAACCGTATTCACATGCCATGGTATTTACATGATAATACAACATGTGTAAAAAACATGGTATTACCATACATGAAAATAATCTATAAATGTCTAATTTCATTAGCTAGTTCACATGATATGACACTCGTTTAAAAAAACATAAAACATACAATTCATGAATACATTTACTTGAATACACATCTTCTAAGCAGGTTCTTAATTTCTGATTTAAAATAGATGTTATCATTATTATTTAATATCTTAACAAAACTGCTTCACTGCTTATTATCCACTAAATAAAGGTTTTGTGGTGTGAATATGTAGAAAAACATGCATACAAATAAAAAAATTGGGGTCCTATGATTTTTTTTAATGGTTTGTCTCTTATTCTCACCGAGGCTGAACAATTAATTAATAATGGTTTTCTATTTTTAATATATTTTAAAATGTAATTCATTCCTGATGGCAAAGCTGAATTTTCAGCATCATCAGTGTCACATGATCCTTCAGAAATCATTCTAATATGGTGATTTGGTGCTTAAGAAATATTTCTTATTAATTTCAATGTTGAAAACAGTTGTGCTGCTTAATATTTTTGTCGAAACTGATAATTTTTTTCAGGTTTTGAACAGTTTAATGCATCCTTGCAAAAATAACAACTTTTGTACAATATTGTATATCATAGAGAGGACCCCTCTAATGCACTGACCCATGTATTAACAATTAATGAAGGCAAATCATCAACTAGGAAATAGTCTTTGTTGCTTCTTGTCTAAAACTTAGAGGCTAACACATTTCTAATGTCATATATTTATCCATTTGGGTTTTCTGGTTTACAGGTGACGCAGGTCTTGACACCCATTGTATCGAGTCCTGGCTTCATTCCAGTAATTCCAATGCTGCAGTCATTATCTATGATCTACCCCTCCCTACACCTGCCTCCCTCCATCATGATTTCACCCATCACACCTGATGATCCTGCTCACCACAAACAGTGTAAGGGGATGACGTACAGTATCACACACAGGCATAATCACATTTGATTCTTAAGCAAACAATCATGTGTTTTAATGGGTGACAGTTGTAATAATATAGCCTTACATTTTTTTTTGTGTGTTTGATTGATTTCTCTCTTGTGTCTTGTCTTCAGTCCATATAATGAAGTCAGAGAATCCCCCAAACAAACATGAGCTCAAGCCAATCAAATCTGAGCTTCATTCTGAACACGCTCAGGAACCCCGCAGCCAGGAAATAACCTCATCAGTCATTACTGTCCCACCAAGTTATAATGAGTGAGTGCTGACTCCTAAAACACTATCTATCTATCTATCTATCTATCTATCTATCTATCTATCTATCTATCTATCTATCTATCTATCTATCTATCTATCTATCTATCTATCTATCTATCTATCTATCTATCTATCTATCTATCTATCTATCTATCTATCTATCTATCTATCTATCTATCTATCTATCTATCTATCTATCTATCTATCTATCTATCATCTAATAGAAGTATAAACATTTCTTCTCTGCATTTAAATACAGGAAGAAACTGCATGACCTTTAAAAAAATAAGATCTCATTTATAGTGGGTGTGGCCTACAATTCTCTTTCAATCCTGAAAGTATGTGCGTTCCTATATCTCATATTTCTTGCTGTGGGTCTGATAAAATCCCCCAGCATGCACTTCAGACAGTGTGTCTCCAAGTATTCTTCAAACCCTCATGGGGTGGGAACGTATCTGTACGTGAGCGTGTACAACTGCATGCTTTAGAATGTGTAGACAGTTTTTTTTCCATTATTATTTTGTGTGTATCAGTGCACTTTTACGGTGTATGTGTATGTGTGATGTCTTCTAATGGGTGTGGTGTTATCATCAGTTATGGACACATACTGTGTGACTGAAAGAAAAATAAGTGGTGAAATAAAGAAAATGGAGCTATGTTTACGGGGAAGGGTGGAGAGAGCACTTGATGGAGAGAGGAAGGGAGGAGTAAGGTGGAGTGATAATTTTATATTGGGTACAGAGCCAAAAAACAACTAATTTTAGGAACAAATGTCAGTAAGTGGGAGAATAAATGGCATACTGTAGACGATGTAGCTTAACCCGACAGGGAGGGTAAGGTGTATGGAGAGACGAGAGAGAACCAGGATGTATTTAATTACAGGGCGTATTTAGGCAGAACTTACAGTAAGAGGTATTTCTGTTAAGTAAATGCATGGAAATGTTTTCAACTGGTTTATTGTCTTCCAGTCGGAAATTGTAAGTCCAGTCACAGCGTTTCCTTAATAAGTTTCACAACATGTCTATAGCACAAATGGTGCAGAACGAGTTACGTGCTTAAGTGCCTTGTGGTTAAGGCCGAAGTGTGAGCAGTAGCAATGAGTCTCGCTTCAGCAAGCCATGCACTACTAATAAAAATCACGAAGGAAGCACATAACAGCACCAAAAATCATATACTGTAATTAAACAAAATCTAATGTAGAGCTAAGGTCATCAATACATACAATACTCAATGCTTTGAGGTCGACTGAATGTTATGGCTCTGACCCCTGGTGGTTAAAGAAAGAGCTGCACTCCAAACAAAGACCATTAATAAACACATTCTTCTTTTTTGTCTGTAACAGGGTAAACACACACTCTGTGATTGTACGTCGAAAGGTAGAATCTCCAGATCCATCGAAGAAGCGTCGAATTCATCGCTGTGACTTCAACGGGTGCAATAAGGTTTATACCAAAAGCTCCCACCTGAAAGCTCATAGACGCACACATACAGGTAAATATATATGAACATCTATCTATCCATACATCCATCCATCTAATGTTTGAACTAAACATTTATTATTATTATGTATTACACTTGTTTACACTCATCTATTCAAGGTGCAAAAAATACTCATTTAGACTTAATGTTTTTAGAACAATGTTTTTAGATTTATAACATTGTTTGTATGCATGTACTGTAATAGTTTGTATGTCATGCTTATTTTATCTATTGTCTATGTTAAGCGCTCTGAGAATTAACTTTTAAAAGCGCTATACCAAATTAAAGTTATTATTATTATTAATGGTTAAACCTCTTCACATTTTTATAATCTTTTTGTAGAAAATGTTTAACTTTTTCTTTATAATCTTAGAGATTATTATTTATTGACCCATATACAGATAGAAATAGGCTACTAATTTCCTCTTACACTGATACTATTCATACGGATGAATAAATGCTCTTCTAAACGTTCTTTCCCATCTCTTTGTGTGACCGTTTAGGAGAGAAGCCCTATAAGTGCATGTGGGAAGGCTGTACGTGGAAGTTCGCCCGCTCTGATGAGCTGACCCGTCACTTTCGGAAGCACACGGGAGTAAAGCCATTCCAGTGCCCTGACTGTGATCGCACCTTCTCTCGCTCCGATCACCTCGCTCTGCACAAGAAGCGTCACCTGCTGGTGTAAGCTCAGTACTGCAACACGTGAACGGAGCAGAACTCGCACCTTCTTTTAAGCCGTTGCTCAACAGGAGTTTCATCTTCAGTGATGTTAAGGGACGTTTTGTGTATCCCGTCTACTCCCTGTCCAGGAAACGATGCGTATAGGTAGAAAGAGTGGAACTGATGGATTACACCATGCTAGCTCTTACTACAGGAAAATAATTATTGTCCAAGTGGATTTTGTCAGCGTTACTATGGATATGAAGAAATGCTGATAGTGCTGTGGATATGACCCTTATCTATACAAAATCGAATGGCATTTAAATTCAATGCAATAGGCACCTTTAAGTCTTTTTCTTGATACCAAGCACTCTCTCTCTCTCCCTTATCTCTCTATACAGATCTCTTTCTCGTTTTGTTTTGCCCTCTGCCGGTCAGAGGCCCCATTGTGCCAGTTACAGCACAAACAAGCAAATCCACATGTAGTATGTCAGTAGCCAGTCACACACACAACTCAGATAGTTTCACACCGTCACACTTAATGTTGGTTTAGGTTGCAACTCGGGTCAAACCTGCACAATGTGAATTTTTCTCCTTTTTTTGTTTTTGTTTTAAATATTACTTGGTAAATAATTGTGTATATGCAGATCCTGCATATGTATTCAGCATGTGTGTTTCATGTTTCAGTGTAAGGACCAAAGCTGATTGACCATTTGATTGGGTCTGTCAGTCATTATACATTGACTCTTAAGAGTTAAGTTTTGACAAAGAAATTGTTTTTGGTCCCAAAAGTAGCTTAAAGCACCTGACCTATTACTAACCTAGTAAAACAGTGACATGTTTTATTAATTGTAATCATGAATTAATACTGTTACCGTAAGTACTATGTACTGTGTAAGTTCTTGCAACATGCACAATTTACGATTTAGTAATGAAATTATAGTAATGATTTTACCCCACATACATTCTAAAAATACAGGTAATTATGTTTAAGAGTTCAAAATAGTGACTTAAACGCGAATAGGCTCGCTTGATCCTCCAACACATACATATTAGTTGCAAGGACTTATAGAATGCTTCAGTTTGCTTAATCTCACCGTTATTCATATTTGAATAATTTCTGTAATCATGAATATTCATATAATCCTAAATATTTTGTTGCGTCTTGTGTTTTATCAAATCCAGTGTCTGAGGTTCAAAAGGGTAAAATCGTTATTCCACTGAGGGGTGTTTAGGTGGAGAAGTTTAATAAATGTGAACCATTCAATAAAGGGCATTATTTTATTAGAGTGAGTTCATCTAGGTTATGGGTGACATTGTCTTACTGCTAAAACTTTGTTTGTGAAAGATATGTTTGACGTGTGAGACAGTCATGGATACATGCAGGGATGAGCGTAGCGTTTGTAGGTTTTGCAAATCATTTTTTAACGTTAACAAATGTTTGTAAAGGGCAATGTGTAAGCAGAAACAGTGCACTTTAAAAATAGATTTGAAATGGCAAATATCTATAAATGGGGGGTTATGAATAGCTTGAAGCTTTGGGCTACATCTCCGTGTTTTCCTTTCTTACAGTAGTTTAACAGTTTGTATTAGACCAGTTTTCTGATTTCTTTTATCAACTGAAGGGCATTTTTTGACATTTCGAAGGAGGAAAAGAACAAGGGGGCACTTACATAAGAAATGAAAAAGTCCTTAATGAGACGAAAGAAAGAATTACAGAGAAAAAGGACGAAGCGTTTATTATATCGGTCTAATATAAACCTTAGTAATATACACATCACAGAAATGAACTAATCAGATAGGATAATGGAAATATTAATATATATAGTCTATATTTTTAAAGCAATAATATGACTGAATGGGCAATTTATAGAAAGCATGATTATGATATATATTTAATCCAAAACAAATATTATACATTTTTATAAAGATGTGAATCTTCTGTCTTTTTTTATTTACTTATTATATTTTTCACAGTTCTAGGGGAATATTATGCTGTGTCATTATATCAAACTGTGAATTTAATACAAATTGTTCAGACACTTTTTTTGTATTATGTAGATTTAAATATGTATCATTCAATAAACTTTTTATGGTGAATATTTTGTATAAATGTGTTGTCATTGTGTTTGATTTCAGGGGCGTAGCCATCATTTCAGAAGTGAGGGGGACAGAAATGTCAGGTCTAATACCAGCGTTTATCTGACCTTTGTCTAATTGACAGATTTTTTTTTATTCTGATACTCTTGATTTTGATTTGGTAAGATATCAAATACAATAACCACTAATATATATTATTTTTGTCCCCTATATTTTATGATTGGTTTATGAACTACAAACACTTGTGCATTAAGTCCTCATGTATTTTATACAATGTAAAAAAAAAAGAACTATTACCGAAAAAGGCAGAAAATATTCAGTGAAACATTACAATTGTTTAATGTTTTTGAAAGAAGTCTCTTCTGCTCACCAAGGCTGCTTTTATTCAATAAAAAAATGCAGCGAAAACAGTAATATTGTAAAATATATTACAATTTAAAATAGCCATTTTCTATGTGAATATATTGTCAAATTTAATTCATTTTCTCCTGTTTATATTTATAATACTCCATTCTTCACTTAATACTTATATTACTCCATTCTTCACATGATACATTCCAGTGTCACATGATACTTCAGAAATCTTTCTAATATGCTGATTTGCCGTTCAAGAAACATTTATTATTATTATCTATGTCGAAAACAGTTGTGCTGCTTCATAATTTTGTGGAAACCATGATACCATTCAAACGTGTGGTACGATTAAAAAAGAGAGAAATTAACACTTTTATTCACCAAGCACGCATTAAATTGATCAAAAGTGACAGTGAAGACATTTTGTTACAAAAGATTTCTATTTACAGTAATTAATTATTGAATAAATGTAATAAATAAATGTAATATGCAAAAACATGCTGCAAATAAACTATTTATATATTCAATATGATTTCAGAAGAAATGCATCCTTGGAGGAATCATTAAACTGCATGCATACATATTTTTGTATAGAAACTATAACGTGTAACCTGTGGTTTATAATTTCTTTACCTGTTGCATAAGTCAAAAGAGAGGGCTCGTCCGGGATTTGAACCCGGGACCTCTCGCACCCTAAGCGAGAATCATACCCCTAGACCAACGAGCCAGTCAGAACCTAATAAATCATATAACACTTTACAAAAGTTTAAGATAAAAAGCGAATTTACTCATTGCTGTTTTATCATTAAAAACACATTTACAGTGACTTGTGTATTGTCTTAGTGATAGGAAAATTTGTTTTTCTAATTTTCTAATGATTCAGTTATATCTCATTACTTCATATTCCCAGTTTTCGCATTCACAAAACCAACTCTGAAACGCATCGCCATTTTAAAAGCCGAGATCAAATAGATGAATACCTCACTCTGTCAGTCCCAAACATGCGTTAGTACTACACAACATTTTACTACAATGTTTATGCAAGATGTGATAGTTTGTCTCTTATCTATTTCCCTATCAACAGAGTGCCAAAAGTTCAGGTGACGTCACCGGCCACAGCCGCACGCGACCCCGCTGCCGACGTGGCGCGAGCTCGAGCGGAAGGGTTGCGCGAGCGCGACTGTCAGCAGAATTGGTAAGAAGGGATGACTCCATGATTTAACTTTACTTCAGAAGAAATAGTACTACAAATGTTAATTTCGCATATATGTATCTTACGTTTTAGCGTTATGGTCTTCTCCATAGAGTACTTCCATATGTCGCGTTTGTTGTTATTCTTTTGGATGATTTAAGTTAAATTGGCGTCTGCGTTCGCTTTTGAAGTGCTCGCAGAGTATTTCAAAATACTTTAACTGTCATTACATAAAGAAGAGACAATAAAAAATGCAAATAATAGGGAAAAGAATACATTATTTATGGTCAAACATAGACGTTTGATTTCAGCTAGTAGAAATGGAGCCTTGGGGGTAACTTAACTGTTTAAAACTGCATGCATATTTTTTTGTATAGAAACTGTAACTTGTAGTTTATAATCTGCCTTATATACGGTCTGTGTATTCGTTTTCTGAACGTATATGTACAAACTAATGTTTGAATGTTGCTTAGTCATTTACTGAACGTATATTTACAAACTAATGTTTGAATGTTGCTTGTACGTGTAAAAAACAACCGCTAGATGGCGCCGCAATCCGCATCAAACAAAGGCGCTTGACAGTGCGGCACCATTCAGGGACAGTACTGTGTGTGAATGCTGTTCTGTCTGAATGCTTTTCTTTTCACACACACCTACACTTACATATTGGTTTCACAATAATAATGATAATAGTAATAATAATAATATCAATAATTTAGTGCTTTTTATTCAGAAATGAAGATAGTTGCTAAACCCAAATCCTAAATTCAGGACCTAACCATAACACAAACCTAATTAGATAAAAAAGAAAAAATATAGTTACACTTTAGATTAGGGTCTAAATCTCATTTATAACTAACTATTAACCATGACTTTTGCCTGAATAAAGATCCTACTGCTTATTAAGAGTAGATTTTTTGCAAACCTTAGTCAGAGCTCAGCTGTCTCAGCGTCCAGCCGGAAGTTAGTTTGTGTAATCATGGCCAGCTGCTTACATGGCCTCTCATTACACTTTGTTTGTTGATCTGTTTTTTATCAGAGCACCATGTCGCAAGATGAGACCGTGGAAGACCTCACTGCAAAATCTCCCCCTTCCCTCCACCCGACTGCCTCTGATGAAACTGGCCCCATAGCTGCAGTCAACACAGATGAGGTCCCATCTTTATCACAACTTTCACTAGGCACATCGACCCCTGACCCAACTAATGTGGCAGCGGAAGAGCATGGTACACCCAAAGCTACTGAAGAGAAGCAGGTACACCAATCAAAAGAAAACCCTGAGGGTCAGGTGACTGAATGTGTGGAGTCAGTGAGCTTGGACCCAGATGTTACACAGGAAGAAGCAGAGGGAACAGAGGTACATTCAATAGTGTTGAGCTGTGTTTGGTCAAAGTAATATTTTGTGCCATATGATACCAAATCCATAACACATTTTTATTGTGTATTTTGTGACTGTATCCTTCGGCTGTTGTTGATGCATGTTATCAGCCCCTGGATGAGTCTAAATCTAAAGGCTGGAGTAGTTGGGGCTCCTGGGGGAAGTCACTTCTGACCACTGCTACATCCACTGTGGGTAAGTCACCATAGCAACCTGTCACTACAGTGAGATTGCCATAGTTAACCTTGCAGTAGATCCTTCCACAGTTAACTGTTAGATATCACAGTCACAATAGCAAATTATACATATGAGAAGGGCTGGACGATATGATAATGCTTCAAGTTTGTATAATATAAGTGAAATTATAGTTAAATGTATTTAAAATGATATAACCAATATGTTTCACATTCTATTATTTTCTCTAAAATTTGATTATTAATCAAACAAACAAAAACTATTTAAATACCAACAACACAACTTGGTAATATATAGTTATATAAACATGAAAACCTGACATCAAGAGCATCCAGGTAAACAAAAATACCTGAAACTAGGGGTGGACGATTAGTTATTCTATTGTTATTTTATTTTATCTCTGTTATTAAAAATAAAAAAACAAAGAAGCAAATTGCAAACAATAGCAAATACAATACATTAGACCTGAATAATCGAATGTAAAAATAAAACACTGCATAGCCTTCACATTAATTAAATACACATTAATTCATATTAAAGCTACAAAATATATTCAGTCAAGAGCAGTGAGTGATTTTCTCTTTTTCTTTTGTTGTTTGACAGACAGAAGCATGTAGTTTTTTTAGGCTGCTATCGCTTTAAGACCTAATGCACGGATCCTATTGACACGCATCCGATTTCTTTCCCAACCGTTTACTTTCACTTAAGACATAACCGACTGTGTTTGTGAATATATTCGCCAAGACAGGCATTCTGACATAACTGTGTGTATTTGACCGCTCGTGTGCAATAAGCCGTGAAAGAGAATTGAATGTCCGAGAGGCGGCTTTCTGTGCGCACGCTTTGTGTGTGTGTGTGTGTCAGACAGCACAACAACCGTTGTGAGTTGTTTTCCACAGTTTATTGGACTTAAAGCTGCAGTCCGTAGCTTTTTTGGGGTTAAAAATTATCCAAAATACATATTTGAGAAAATACATAACCAGCCAGTGTTCAAAACTATCTGCTTGCCTTAGCTCGATTCAAAGCGGTAAGCTTGTAGTAATGTTTTTAATCCAGTGGTACTGGTGGATTTCCGCTGGAGATTTGAGCATGTCTTTGTGTCATTACGTCACATCTGTACACATTAAGTCATAGTCAGCTTTATTGTCGATTCTTCACATGCTCCAGACATACAAATAATCGAAATTACGTTTCCCTCCATCCCACGGTGAAGACAGAGAGAAAAAAGAAAAGAAAAAAAAGTAATTAAACATGTAGTTAAACCTATACTATCACTATGTATGGGCATCAATAAATAGACATTTAAAATTAAATCTGCAAGTGACATGATAGTGCAAGACAGTTTCGGTCATAGCGAACATCAGAAGTGTGCAAATGACATGGTAGTGCAAAGACAGTTCATCGAAAGCAGCATATGAAGTGTGCAAATGGCATTGTAGTGCAAGGACAGTTCAGTCATAGCAGCATCAAGTGTGCTAAGGGGGTCATCTTCTTAACGACCTGGGGGTGGGGTATGTCATCTCATCTTCTTGACGGCCTGGTGGTTGAGAGAGTTCAGCATCCTAACAGCCTGGTGGAAGAAACTGTTGTTGAGTCTGGTAGTGCGGGAGTGGAGGCTTCTGTACCTCTTCCCAGATGGCAGGAGGTTGAACAAATTGTGAGCTGGATGACTTTCATCGCTCGCAATTGTGGTCGCTTTGCGGATGAGACGGGAAGAATATATATCTTTCAGGGAGGGGAGTGGCGCACCAATGATCTTTCCGGCTGTGTTAATTATGCGCTGAAGAGCTTTTCTATTATATTCAGTGCAGCTCCCACCCCACACAGTAATGCAGCTGGAAAGAATGCTCTCAATGGTGCCTCTGTAGAAAGTGCTCATGA